TAAGTCATAAAAATGAGAGGACATTTCAATTTTATGAGCTGTGTATGAATTAAATTGTTCATCACTTTTTTCCTTCTGAAGCTACTAAAATCACTGGGGTCCGTATCCAGACTGAAAAGAACACCAATATTATGGGGATGATGTGTTGAAAAACACTGACCTAAATTGTCAGGAATTTCTGTAATTTTCTTCTGTCACTCACACTCTACAGCCACACCTTCCTCTTTACCATTTCTACCCCAGGCTAATCCTTCTACTTGTAGGAAGACACGGGCTCCTACATTCATCCACAGTAACCTTGGGATCTTGCTCAGTTAAGCCATCTATCATCTCTCTTCTAAAATCAATACTCTTTTCCATTAATATATAAATGTATTCAAGTGTCTGCACCTTAAAAGAAAAAAAAAGGAGACCCTTCACTTAACCCACATCTCCCACGTACACTTTCCACCTCTACCATCTCATGAACCACAATCAAAACTTAGTCTATGAAATCTGGCTAATAAATCCTCTTTTCCAATGATAATATTCTTGATTAAATTGCCGAAGACCTCTATTATTTCTATCCAAAGGCATATCTTTGTCATTTTACTTGACTCTTCCCCTTTTTTGAGAACTTTACTCTTCCCATCACTCTCAGTATGCAAGCTTAAAGATTTAATCAAGAGGACAATGAAGGGATGCGGAACTCCAACCAAAGCTCACAGATTTCAAGAAGATAACTGGAATCCCAAGAGACCTTTAAAAGCAGGAACTTTCACTGTCATGAAATTTGTACTCCTACATCTTTTTTTTTGGAGGGGGGCATTTTCTAACAGGAATTGTTTATTAGTAGATAAAAAGTAGATAAGGATCAATTAGATATACAAGAATTCCAAACATCTCTGATACTAATATCTTCAACACACTTCCTAAAACAGTAATAGGTTTCAAATAAAGACATTAAAATGGGTCGTTGGGCACACAAAGAATGAAGAACACAAAGACCTCATCTTGTCAATACCAGAGCAAAGACACTGCCTAGCAGCAAACACCAGGTAACAGACTACTCCTTACTTTCTCTAAGCATTTACAATGATGAGCAAATACTCTGAAAGAAACATTGCTATGACATCTGCAATTATCCTATAAAAAGAAAAAAGTACAAGTATTTCTCATTTTCCAGGATTACTGGTAAATTTCAGAAGTCCTCTTTGTAATTAATTTCTAAAAAGCAAATCCTATTTTCCCATTAAAATATACTCTCTTTACAGCACACACCCAACTCTGGCTGAAAACTTGTGAGGAAAAAGTAATTAAAAACGCTGCACCCCAATAACATTTCAGAAACATTTCAGAATATTGCAATTATTCTTTGCCTGCTGGCAGTGTTCACAAATCTCCTCCCTTTAATTATTCATTTCTTGCCACTTGTTCTCAAATTTTCTCCCTGTCCAAGGATCTCATGACTTATACTCAAAACCTTCAGAACCTGCCATCCTTCTGCTGTCCTGCTAGGCTACCACAGCAAACTCTGCCAAGAATGATATCCAAAGGCTAAAATAGTATATAGAACAGGTTAGTTCCTGATATCAACTTTATAAAATTAAGAACATCACACTAGTTTTTTTGTTCATATTGCAAACTATTCTAGGTTTCAAAATCCAAAATACAGAGCTGATATATTTTCCAACAAAACAAAATTATACACATTTTATTTCTAAGAATAATAAGCTTAAAGATCTTGAGCACATGGACCACTTCTAGAGGATGTTTTCTGCCTACTTAAGATAACTGCAGGGCATAAAGAAGACAAAGGAAAAGAATGAAAAATCTCATCACAGTAAGAATGGACGAAAGGAAGGATGAAAAAGAAAAGTGAAACAATAAGAACACGCAACTCTAACAGTGATAAAAACACTGTGTTACATGAAAACTATAAAGAGCTCTCACGGAGAACTCAACAAGTAACCACCAGACATGATTAGTTAGCAAAAACAAAATAAAAACAAACAAACATCTATAAAAATACACCAAACTTCACCCATACTTAAAGAAACGCAAATCAAGGAATGACTCCATTTCTGAAGTATGTATACCACAAAGATTAAAAAGTTCAATAATACTGTTGGCAAGGAAAAGTCATTCTAATATTTGACCAGTAAGAGAGTAAATTGGTTAATATAACAAAATATATAAATAAAATCCCACTGCTTGGAATTTATTTTACAGCTGTATTTAATCAGTGTGCAAAGATACACATTACAAAACTATTCACTGCAGCATTATTGTAAGCGGGACAAACTAGAAACAACCTAAAGTCCATCAACAGGAGACCGGGGAGAAATACCAGCTTCTATCTATGTTTTAACAGACTGTTAAAGAGCCTGTAAAAAGTACATACAAAAAAAATGATGTGAAAAGATCTTTAAGATAATGACTGGGAAAGAAAAAAAAACAAGGTCCAGAATAATATATACATTGTGAAGCTATGTAACTTAAATATATAATTATATATAGTATCTCTTGTAAAAACATCACAAACTCGGAAAATGGCTAAGTGTTACATACAACTGCCAGATAAAAAACATGATGTCTAGTCAAATTTGAATTCCAGGTAAACAAAAAAATTTTTTTAGTATAAGTCTGTGCAAATACTGCAAGGGACATACTTCTCCTTGTTTGCTAAATCTGGTAACCCTAGGTAACATAACACTCTGCAAGTTACAACCTCAAGGGCTTCAGTTTCCCCATTTGGAAAATGCAGGAGTCACACTACTTTTTTCTAGTTCTAAAATCAGTTCTGTGATTTTTTTCCCCTACTTCTAAAATTCAGTAGTTCTAAAGCTCCCTAGAATTCTAGCATTTTATAAAGAATTCAGCATATACCTAGGATAATGTTCACACAAACTAACGGCTTCTCACAATCCTTCACTGACTCTTTCCAGTCCTTGAAAATAGGCATTCTTCAACATCCTTCCTTGGTCTCTTACTTCCAAACACTCACACAGGCTCAGGAATTTTTCTGTCTTTCACATATATGTAGACAATTTCTAGATTATTCTTTCCTTCTCCAGTCAATCATGGAATTCATAGAAAGCTTCAAACCAATTGTAACATCAAAATAACACAGCTAACAAAAATACTGGCTTCATGGACGTCTGGGTGTCTCAGCCAGTTAAGCATCCAACTCTTCATTTCGGCTCAGGTCAAGATCTCAGGGTCCTAAAATCGAGCCCTGCATCAGGCTCTGCGCTCAGCGGGGAGTATGCTTGGGATTCTCTCCCTCTGCCACTCTCCCTGCTTGAGCTCTCTCTATCTCTAAAAATAAGTAAGTCTTATAATATACTATATATATATATATATATATATATAGCTTCTAATGAATGCCTATATTATAGGAACTCTGTAGGAAACTTACAACTTAAATACGACCTACAAATATGGAACCAGATGAAATAACTGAGTGAAAGACTGTTTCACATACAGCTATAGTCACAGAAGTCAAGACCTGCAGATTGACCAAATGTTGGAGCAACCCTGACGATGAAAGAAAATAAAGAGTCTCATCCTACCAGCAGGTGGGGATGAGAAATAGTGTACGTTCCAGAGTATCTGGAGTAAAGCCTGGGCAACTACATATGTATACAGCCTTAGACATTCTCTCTCTCTCCCTTGGTTTCCTGGGAACAAAGCCCTGACTTGAACCAGAGCCCACGTGAGTGGAGCTCCCATCACTCGGTCCAGGTTTTGCCAGCTCCTCCCACTAAAAGCTATACAAGGCACTTTAGAATCCATGGCTTCAGATGGAATTGCTAACAGAAACAATTCACCAGGCTCACGAGCCCAAACCACAGTGCTGATATATCTATACTGCCGCTACCGAATTCTATCATTTCCTAAAGCCTCTTCCTGAAGTGTCTCATTCATTTGGAGGTATTTTTAAACATAGTTTGATGATCATTCTAGCATAAGCTAATCAGTATCTTTTGGACACTTATTTTCCATTTCTGGCTATCTCCAATGAAGACCAGCGCTACAGCTAAATCAATTTTTCCTAGGCTTGATCCCACCCAACCTGGGTTTCCTGTTCTACCGACCCAGCCCTGTATATAAGTACCACAGGTTCAAGATAACACCAGTCAATGCTACCTATTTTCCTAATTATTACAGATGCAACCACTACCCTATCCATATTTTCCTTTTAAAATGCTAACATCTTTGGGGCGCCTGGGTGGCTCAGTCGTTAAGCGTCTGCCTTCAGCTCAGGTCATGATCCCAGGGTCCTGGGATCAAGCCCCACATCGGGCTCCCTGCTCCGCGGGAAGCCTGCTTCTCCCTCTCCCACTCCCCCTGCTTGTGTTCCCTCTCTCGCTGTCTCTCTGTCAAACAAATAAAATCTTTAAAAAAATAAAAATAAAAGAAAATAATAATAAATAAAATGCTAACATTTTTAAAACCTGTCAACTGTCAAAAGGGGATTATTTCTTTCTCTGAAAAAGAGTAACAGTAATTCCTGCTTCCCTCTGCAGGATCTTTCATATATCGTTTTCACTTCATATGTGGGCTATGGCAGCACATTTTCCTTCAATCTCCCAGACCTCCACTCGGCATGCAATATTTACAATTATGATTACACGTAACAATGGAACAATTTCCTTTGAAAGCAATAAGGCAGCAGTAACAGTCTACCAAAATACTTCCTGTAGCATATTCATTTAAAGGGATTATGAACTCAATTCATTTTTTAGACTGCAAAAAAGCAACAAATTTTAAGATAATATAGCTACTGAATTCTTCTTCCATTTGTTAAATAAAACTGTGAAATGCAATGCAACCCATAAAACAAGGCTACTATTTTGTTAAATGTGCGTATCTTACCTCTTCCACAAAACGTAAGAAACAGAAGAACATAACTCATATCTACTTAATAAACGATACTCTGCAAACACAGCTCACTTCTTTGAATCCTCTGCAATTTAATATTCATTCATCAGTTTAAAAAACAAACAACAAAATACCTGGCAAATGGAGACTTCCTGTCCTGTAGATGCTCTTTCTTCAGAGAGTCATCTCTCAGGCTTTCCTCTTGTGATTTTTCTCTCACGTCTTCTGAAATGTGTCCAGAGTCCACACTGCCCCTAGTTTCTAATGATCTTCGATATGAACATTTCCTGTCTCCTCCTCTTCCACTGGATTGGCTCCACGATGAAGAACTTTCTTCACTGTTTTCTGTAGGTTTTCGAAAACCATAACGCACAGAATCCTGAGCAACCAATGCTGAAGATGAACTAGAAGGTTCAAAATTTCTGCCCTTGCTACAAGATGACAGTTCTTCATCATCAGAGGGTCTTAAAAATTTAGGTTTCAAATTTCCAAGAGAAGAAAAGTCCTGATTTTGCCTTGGATTGGATTGTCTTCTACAGGTTTCTAAAGACCCAAACCTATTATCTTTTTCATCACCACTAGACTTATCTTTATTGGTGGTGTTTGTAGTATCTGTTGAACTATATCTATGCCTTAAATTTTTATTATATTTTACCAAGTCTGATTTTCTACTTTCTTGACTACTTTGTGCTTTATCTGAGTATGCTGGTTTCCTCCACCGTTCTCGTTTATAATCTTCTTTGGTGGATGCAGTTTTTTCAGCTTCTTCTAATTTTGACTGAAATACTTCCAATGACTACAAAGGAGAGAAATTAAACAAAATATCTAAAATTAAAGAAGGTTCAATGACTTGTACCCCCATATGCCACTGTGCCATGATATACTGTCACCCAACAAAGAAGAGACGAAAAGACCCATATGATCATCCTAATTGATAAGGGCTTAAGTGTGCCCCCTTCCAATTCCTATGTTGAAGCCTTAACCCCTAGTACTCAGAACATAACAGCATTTAGAGACAGGCACTTGAAAGATGTCATTAAGTTAAAAGTTCAGTTGGGCCCTAATTCAATCTGATGGATATCCTTAAAAGAAGAAGAAATTTGGAAATACAAAGACATAGAATGGATGAGCACACAAAGAGAAAATCCACGTGAGAGACACAGCTGAAAGGCAGCCGCCCCAGGAGAAACCAAACATTGTAATGCCTTGATCTTGGACTTCAATTCTCCTGAATTATGAGAAATTAGATTTCTATTGTTTAAGCCACCTAACCTATAGAACTTTGTTATGGTAGTCCTAGCAAACTAAATATACTACCCTAAAGTAAATGCTTAAAAAAATGTGATTAAGGGCACCTGGGTGGCTCAGTCGTTAAGCGTCTGCCTTCAGCTCAGGTCATGATCCCAGAGTCCTGGGATCGAGCCCTGCATCGGGCTCTCTGCTCGGTGGAGAGCCTGCTTCTCCCTCTCCCACTCCCCCTGCCTGTGTTCCCTCTCTCGCTGTGTCTCTCTGTCATGTAAATAAAAATAAAATCTTAAAAAAAAAAAAAAAATGTGATTAATCAACAAAAAGTTACCAAATAATGAAAAATTCTGGGAACTCAAAAGAAGATCCACTATACCAAATGCCCAGCACTAAAACAAAATATTATACAGAAAACAGTGAAGACATCATTTCTAAAAAATTAATTCCTATCAGTGAGATTCAAGAGGCTGCTACATTACTAAAACATAACAGACTCTCACGAAAAACAAGAGTTCAAGAACAAAGAAAAACTTGTAAATGAAAACTGTGTGTCCAAAAACATAAAGATATAGTGAACAGAAGAACAGAAAGTATTGCATCCAATACTAGTTAATTCAACACGAGCCTGGGCATTCTCTCTACTTAAGAAAAGATGGTAAGCAGATGTAATAAGGAAAAAAGACAGAAGGACAATTAATTCTAAGAGTCTATTATGCATACATGAATACTACCAGAAGGAAAGAGCGAAGATAGAAGAAAGCATTAATAAAATAATTATAAAAATAATATAAGAAAATTTCTCTAGTTAATTTTCCAGGTATGAAGGGCTCATCTGGTAGCCTTAGGAGAGGGGAGAAAATGAAGCATATAAAGACTCATACATAAAAAAATCCTAATTCTGGGGGTGCCTGGGTGGCTTAAGCTCTTGGTTTCTGACTCTTGGTTTCAGCTCAGATCATGATCTCACAGGTTGTGACATCAAGCCCCAAGTGAGTCTCTGCGCTCACGGTGGAGTCGGCTTGAAGATTCTCTCCCTCTGCCCCTCCCCCCACTCATGTGCATGCATTCTCTCACTCTCTCTCTCTCTCTAAAATAAAGAAATCTTGGGGTGCCTGGAGGGCTCGGTCGTTAAGCGTCTGCCTTCAGCTCAGGTCATGATCCCAGGGTCCTGGGATCGAGCCCCGGAACGGGCTCCCTGCTTGGCGGGAAGCCTGCTTCTCCCTCTCCCACTCCCCCTGCTTGTGTTCCCTCTCTCACTGTATCTCTGTCAAATAAATAAATAAAATATTTAAAAAATAATAAAATAAAATAAATCTTTACCAAAAAAACACTAATTCTTGAGTCTCAAAATACATACATGCACAAAAAAAAAAAATTCTTCACAAAAATTAGATCAGAGAAGGAGGCAGTAAGCATGAGCTGTAAACAGATGGGAGTAGGCAAATAACACATTACCTACAAAGTAAAGAAGGTAAAACTCTTGGGGCACCGGGGTGGCTCAGTGAGTTGAGCATGAGACTTTTGATTTCAGCTCAGGTCATGATCTGAGATTGAGATCATGAGATTGAGCCCCATGTCAGACTCCTCACTCAGTGCCTACAATTCTCTCTCCCGCTCCCTCTTTAAAAAAAAAAAAAAAGTAAAACTGTTATCAACTCTTCATCTCTAATACTAAATACTACAAGCTACAGGATAATGGAATAAAGATCAAATTATGAAAGAAAAAGACAAGGCAATAATTCTTTACAGAATTCAATTCACAGTCAAACTATCCTTACCTGGCAAGGACAAAAGAAAGTCATTTTCAAAAATACAAGGAATCAGAAAGCAAACCATTTACTATTAGGTGCAGGGGAAATCACTCAGGATCATTAAGGCAAACCATAAGGGAATTAGGGCAAAGATGGCTGAAAAAGGAAGGAACACTATAAACCAAATGGTAAATGTAATAGTTAAGTCTAAATAATTGTTCTTGTAGCTGTGAAGTTTAACACAATTGTCAAGAATAAGATGCATATTTTTTAAAAACTTATAATAAACTGGAATTAAAATTTCAAATTAGTTAATAAAAGAAAATACACAGAAGCAAGTGAAAATGTAAACACAGTGGTCCAAAACCTTTGGGATACAGCAAAAGCAGTCCTAAGAGGGAAGTATATAGCAATACAGGCCTACCTGAAAAAGCAAGAAAAATCTCAAATAAACAACCTAAAGGAACTAGAAAAAAATACAACAACCAAAACCCAAACCCAGCAAAAGGAAGGAAATAATAAAGATTAGAGCAGAAATAAATGATGTAGAAATTAAAAAAAAAAAAAATCATAAAACCAGGAGCTGGTTGGAAAAAATAAATATTAGAGCAGAAATAAATGATGTAGAAATTAAAAAAAAAAAAAATCATAAAACCAGGAGCTGGTTCTTTGAAAAAATTAATAAAATTGATAAATCTCAGCCAGACTTATCAAAAAGAAAAGAAAAAGGATCCAAATAAATAAAATCACAAATGAGAGAGGAGAAATAACAACTAACATCACAGAAATACAAACAATCATACACGAATATTATGAAAAACTATATGCCAATAAACTGGACAACCCGGAAGAATGGGATAAATTCCTAGAAACATATAAACTACCAAAATTGAAACAGGAAGAAATAGAAAACTTGAACAGATGGATAACCAGCAAAGAAACTGAATCAGTAATCAAAAAGATGGCTTCACAAACAAATTCTACCCAACATTTAAGGAAGACTTAATACCTATTCTTCTTAAACTATTCCAAAAATAGAAAACAAAGGAAAACTTCCAAATTCATTCTATGAGGCCATCATTCCCAATACCCAAACCAGATAAAGACACAACTAAAAAAAGAGAACTACAGGCCAATATCTCTGATGAACAAAGATGCAAAAATTCTAAAAAAAAAAAAAAACCAACAAACCGAATCCAACAATAAATTTAAAAAAATCAATTCACCACAATCAAGTGGGATTTATTCCTCAGTTGCAAGGGTGGTTCAATATTCACAAATCAATCAACAGGATACATCATATTAATAAAAGAAAGGATAAGAGCCATACGATCATTCCAATAGAGGCAGAAAAAGCATTTAACAAAGTACAACATCCATTCATAAGATGTCCTTCGACAGATGAATGGACAGAGAAGATGTGGTCCATATATACAATGGAATATTACTCAGCCATCAGAAAGGATGAATACCTACCATTTGCATTGACATGGATGGAACTGGAGGGGATTATGCTAAGTGAAAAAAGTCAAGCAGAAAAAGACAATTATCATATGGTTCATTTATATGTGGAACATAAGGAATAGCATGGAGGACATTAGGAGAAGGAAAGGAAAAATGAAGGGGAGAAATCAGAGGGAGAGACGAACCATGAGAAACTATGGACTACAGGAAACAAACTGAGGGTTCTAGAGCGGAGAGGGGTGGGGGGATTGGTTAGCCCAGTGATGGGTATTAAGGAGGGCATGTATTGCCTGGAGCACTGGGTGTTATACGCAAACAATGAATCATGGAACACTACAACAAAAACTAATGATGTAATGTATGGTGATTAACATTAACATAAAAAAAAAGAAAAGAAAAGAAAAAAGAAAAACCCTCAACAAGTAGGATTAGAAGGGACATACCTCAACACAATAAAGGCCATATATGAAAAACCCACAAATAATATCATCCTACATGGGGAAAACCTGAGAGCTTTTCCTCTATGGTCAGGAGCAAGACAGGGGTGTCCACTCTCACCACTTTTATTCAACACAGTACTGGAAGTCCTAGCCACAGCAATCAGACAAAAGAAATAAAAGTCATCCAAATCAGCAAGGAAGGAGTAAAACTTTCCCTATTTGCAGAGGACATGTTACTATACACAGAAAACCAGAAAGACCCCACCAAAAAACTGCTAGAATTGATAAACGAGTTCGGTAAAGTTGCAGGATACAAAATCAATGTACAGAGATCTGTTGCATTTCTATACACCAATAATGAAGCAGCTGAAAGAGATTATTGAGGAATCAATCCCTTTCACAACTGCACCAAAAACAGTAAGATACCTATGAATAAACCTAACCAAAGAGGTAAAAAGACCTGTACTCTATAAACTATAAAATACTAATGAAAGAAATTGAAAGGGACACAAAGAAATGGAGACATTCCATGCTCATGGATTAGAAGAAGGAATAGTGTTAAAATGTCTACACTGCCCAAAGCAATCTACACATTTAATGCAATCCCTATCAAAATATCAACAGCATTTTTCACAGAACTAGAACAAACAATCCTAAAATTTGAATGGAACCACAAAATATCCAAATAGCCACAGCAAACTGGAGGCATCACAATTCTGGACTTCAAGCTATATTACAAAGCTGTAATCATCAAGACGGTATGGTACTGGCACAAAAACAGACACATCATAGAAAACCCAGAAATGAACCCACAATTATATGGTCAATTAATCTTCAACAAAGCAGGAAAGAATATCCAATGGGAAAAGAATTCTCTTCAATAAATGGTGTTGGGA